TATATATACAGTATACAGTATATATGAGCGCTTCTCTTCATATTAAACAGCTTCGGGTACAACAGCGCTCCGAGCTGCGCTTCTTTCTTTTCGATATTTAGCTGAAATGATCCATTCCCAGTTAAATTAAAAAGATGATCAGCTGGTCTGATTTTATGACCACCTGAATGCGCAACTGGTGTTTACTCAATCAATGTGAGAAAAAAATAATAAAAGTTTCTTCCTCCTCTAAAAGTACAAGTTTAGTTTGTTTCCTTGTCTGTTTGTGCAGCCGACTGCGCAGCAGCTGAAGACCATTTTTACAGCTAAATCAACAGGGAGGAAAGAATGACATTAGGCTACCAACTGTCTGATTCTCCTATAGCTCAATGGTATCTTATGGACGCATGTCTGTTTTTGCCATCGAAAAAAGGGGCGGTCTTCGGAGGCGCATGACGTCACGTGCAAACGGTCAATAAAGAAAATCATCACTTCCTTGTCATTACTCTTCTTCAGTGATAGAGCTTTGTGATGTTTCAAACTGTTAAACACTGCCACCAACTGTTGAGGAGGATTATTACACCCCTAAAGGTTGTTTCACTGTGGAAGGGGTGTGTACAGCAGGGTGGCCAATGGGGTGGCCAAAGATTTGTCTGTGGTGGCCATGGCCACCCCTGGCCACCCCCTGGTTCCGCCCCTGCTGGTGACCTCGTGAATTTCTGTTTTTTTTTTTTTTTGTTTTGTTTTGTTTTGTTTTTCGGGTTGTCAGCCAGTCCATCGTGACTCTTCACACCCTCACCAAAACCCCTCTGGCCTCTCCAGGACAAAAAAAAAAAAAGGTCACCAATAATGACTTAGAATTTGTCGTGTCTGGGTTTGAAAGCAGCACACTGACAGCTGGCATCACAGTTCATTATGTCTCTGACTGAAAAGGCTGGGAAGGGCCAGAGAGAGGCTCTCACTGTCGTTGGCGTTGAAATAATCACTGGCGCTGACAGGTTGCCAGCGAGCTCCGTTTTTAAATTCCCGCTCTCTGTAATACGGGCAGATGTTTTGAAGAACACGGATTGTGCTTTCAGGACACGTGTCGTGCTCCTTGTTCTGTACCTGAAGTTGTGCTCCCGTCCTGCATCAGCGTTTCATGGCTCTTTCCAAGGCCGCCACTCCGATTTT